GCAGGAGACAAATCGAAGTGTGAGAGGTTGGCTGCACTTTTTTTTCCTCTATGAGTCCAACAGAAATTTCACTTAAATTCTGGTGAGCCACCCGCTGACACCCTGGGGGTAGGTGGGGCTTCCGGCTGACTGCCTGAGAGCAGACACCCCCAGAAGTCAGTTTCTATCTCTGCCACGCTCTTTCCTGGGAAGGTTTGTGTGCAGTTTGGATTCTCTAGTGTAGGTGTCTTTATTTATAAGCCCCTCAAAACATTCAGGCCAGTTGCTAGATGGAAGCCGTGACGGGGCATTACATCCCTCTGCCCGTGCTGATGTACACAATGTTCTCCCCTGCAGACATCGCCGAATGGAAGCTGTGCGTCTGCGTAAAGAGAACCAGATTTACAGCGCAGATGAGAAGAGAGCTCTGGCGTCCTTCAACCAGGAGGAGAGGAGGAAACGAGAGAATAAGATCCTTGCGAGCTTTCGAGAGATGGTCTACAGAAAGACTAAGGGCAAAGAAGAAAAATAGTTTGCTATTTGAACCGTACACCGTAGACTCTACCAAGCAGCAGCTAACCTGTTCCAGGCATGATTTGAAAAAAGCTGCAGGTGCTGCAGTGCCTTTCACCCAGCAGGGCCAAGCCTCAGGTGTGGATTACTTGTATCAAGGAAACAGAGTTACTTTTGTCAGATTTTCTGGGATGATTTGTTCACTGTCTACAAAGAATCCCTGTAAAGTGAAAGGCTACAAGGCAGGGAAGGCAGGAACAGGCAGGGGGGATTAGAGGTGGCAATGTTCTGTGCTCGCTTTGCATCGGACAAGCAGGAGGATTCCGTGGGAGGGATTTCTTACCTGATGCTGATAAATGCGATTTTCCATTTATTTTGATTAATGAGAGTAGACTGGCCATCAGAAGCAAGCTACTAGTGACAGTAGCAAAAATGAAGGAACTCCTAAGTTCCTCTTTAAGATCTAGGACTGTCCACTTAGGTATTCTTTCATAAGTCTTTTAGATTTTTATTTTTTTTTCTCAAAACAGTTGAGTTTGGTTTGTGGTTCAAACTAGACTTGTAAATAGAAATGAGTTTGTAATTTAATACAGACTAGCTTCAGTTACTTTAAAGCAAGCAGATCGCAATTGGGGTGTAAAGTAACAGTAATGGTAGTAGGGGGATCTGATCTTCAATCCACCGAAGCCCGTGGCGAAGAACAAAGTTGCTTGCTTCTTTCTCCTATGTTATACATAGGTATCGGCGCAGTGGGGTGCAGTGGTTGGAACCCCTGGATGTACACAGGTGGTAACAAGGATATATCTTTCAATTTATTTGAAATTTTTTTTTGTCTATGGAAGTGTTCTAGATTAAAACCTTATTTTAACTCCTGTGGTATTTTAATTTGGTCCGTTTCAGCAATATTAAAATGGCTTTCTTTAAACTCTGTACTCGGAGGCCTACTCCGGGTAGTGCTTCTGTGCTGGTTATCTCCGATTCAACTGCATGTTTCCAAACATACCCCCCTTCGCCGCCTTTTTCTCAAGTGCTTTTAAAAACAAAGTGTTTTCTGGAGGGTTTTTTTGTTCCCCGAAATCTCTGTGTTGTGGTTTTGGCAGCAGAGATCTCTTGTACATTTGTATAAAGAAAATAAAAGTCCTATACCATTTGCCCTGGAATTCTGCAGAGCTGGTGTTCGCAAACAGCAAGTCCAGGCCAGCTGCCTCCCCCTTTACACTCTGGCACCTGGTTCTGTCCTGCAAGGGGCCGTCACGGAAAGCCAGCTGCCAGGTCAGGCCGCAATTGATTTTGCACAGATTTAATGCTTTTTATGTATTCACAAACTAGAAATGCTAATAAGGAAGAGCCATTCTTTCTTCACTGTGTTTATTTGATTCTCCATAAAATACCAACAGAGCGTCGGTGATGGTGAATTGGAGCTGTTCATTAGAAAGTAACTCTTTCCGCAAGCATTATTTTATTTTCAATGATGTCCTTAAGCCACTTTTCTCTTAAACTGACACCGTTCTGGCCTGGAGGATGGAATAAAAAGAGGGTAAATGGTAAGAATAATATTGAATCCACGTTTGGCCAACTTGCCAGTTCTGTCTCTCCAGCCAGCGCTGTAGCTGACTAGCTGGTGGAAAGTGCTTTAGGCTGGTATTTCATTGATTACCAAGCTCTTTTCAGCCCTTCAGAAAACTGAGACAGGAGCCAAACCTGAGGCTGACCACATCTAGGAAGCACGAGCATGGACACAGAGTGCCACAGAGAAGTGTCAGGCGTATCTGTCCCTGCTCGGTGACACAGGCTACAAGTTGGGCTTCAGGACCACTGATAGACTCTCAGAAATGCTTCATCCCAAGCCAACTAATGGCCAGAGGAATTCAGATGCAAATTTCTGTGTCTGAACTTGCTGCTATTCATGCTGATGTAAATCCAGAAGAATTCTGTTTACGCCAGTGTATTTTCTTTTTCTGCAATATTATTACTTTCTCAATATGGCTACAAGCAAATAGGGGGAATTATATTACAGAGACACTCGCACAAAGCAGAGAGACTTGGTTGAAGTCAGCAGAAAACAACTTCTAGCGCTGCTGGGCATCCTCGGCTCTCGCTGGCTACGGAGCAGTAAAAGGGTGTTTTGCTGCTGGTGTGGCAGCTCTTGCGGTAGGCTCTGTCCAGCTGAGCAAGCGTAACTTTCTCTGAATTTCTCTGACTTACGTGGCTCTGCACCTTGTCCACTCTGTGGTTATTTGTGGCTGTTCCCCGCCCCGTGCCTCACGGTGAATCGGTGTTAACGATAACGACACAAGAGCAGCGTTTCACTCTCCCATTTGCCATATGTCAACAAGCAGACAAGTAAGAGTCGTTGTTTGTAGCGGATTTAGGACGTAGCAGAAGCAGGTTTTGGCTGTATTGTAAGTTAAAACTGCTGAATGTTACTGCGCCCGGAGGGAAGGATCGCAAGCTGCAGGAGGTGACACCGGCTATTCAGGCAGAGTGCTGCACAGCCAGCGGGGTTGCTGCAGGGAACGCCAGGTCAGCAGAAGTGCGTGCAAGAATAGCATCAGTCCTGCTGCCTTTCTGCATTTTGCTAGTACTTATCGCTACAGATGCATCCGTAAGGGTAATTGTGTGGTAGTTCTCTTGGCATTCCTTTTCTTCCTCTCAACTGCAACCCCCACTCCTTGTCCCCCTGTGCTGCTGGAAGGGAGGAGGTAGAGAAATCGGGAGTGAAGTTGAGCCCGGGAAGAAGGCAGGGGTGGGGGGAAGGTGGCTTAAGATCTAGTTTTTATTTTCTCATTATCCTACTCTGATTTGATTGGTAATAAATTAAACTAATTTCCCCAAGATGAGTCTGTTTTGCATGATGGGGTAACTGCTGAGTGATCCCCCTGTCCTTATCTCAACCCACGAGCCTTTCGTTGTATTTTCTCTCCCCTGTCCAGCTGAGGAGGGCAGTGATAGAGCGGTTTTGGTGGGCACCTGGTATCCAGCCAGGGTCAACCCACCACAGCAACACAGATACACGGGTTGAATACATGTCTATCTTTATTAAAGAGCTAAATCATTTTATATAGATACGTGGATGCTTCAACGTGCTGCCACCTTAGTCTATGTTCTCCAGACCCTGAAAAAGAAAAAGCAACAGCTGTATCTGCACCATTCTCATCGCTAACTTGCAAGATGCAAAGTTTAATTAAAAAAAAAAAAAAATTAAAATCCCCAGCCCCACAGGAAGGCCAGCCGCAGGCAGAGAGCGAGCTCTGCCAGCCCCAGGAGCGACCAGTGCCCACCGCAGCCCTCCCGGCGG